CCGGGAAGTTTGAACTTGATTGAAGATTTGAAAGTGAAAAATTAGATGAATTCACAAGTTTTGGAGAAGTTTTGGGAAAAAGTTGAACATACTAAATGCATTGGTAGATCAAAAATAAATGCTGAACGACCAAATTGTAGGAGCATGGAAGATGAAGGATCAATATAGAAGCAATAGAAAGTGATAGGACCTAATTTAGGTGATTTAAAGTTTAAGGACCAAAACTCTACGAAGTGGCTGGAGCTAGGGCGAAACTACACAAGAATTGGGAATTAAAACTGCCCAGTAAGCAGGGGTCGTTGTCACAACAATGCTTCTTGTGACCGCAGTTGGAGCTATTCTGAAGGAAATTCTTCCTGTTGTTAGCAGTTCATAGTAGCTCATAACAGTTGGGTTCAGCCAAATAATTTTTTTAATTTTATTTTCTTCCTAATGGAAGGGCACTTCTTCGAGTAAATTTTTGTACTAGGATTCCAAGGACAATTAATCACTATATGAATTGCTAGGATTACGATAAAACATAGTTGACTCTTTAATTCAATAAATTAAGATAAAACCTTGGTTGGTATTTATCAATGATTAAGCCCCTAGGGGCTTGTGTGAAAGAGTTGAAGTTGTTCAATGGTTTGCTTAATAGTGTGGAGTAATTTCTTGCGTTGAAATTTGTTTCAAGGTGGAGAATTGTTGAGTACGAATCAAATTCTATGGGGGTAATTGAGGTTTGGATGAAAAGGACTTGAAGAAGTCAAAATATAGACAAAGAAAAATTATCAGCACCAGAGGCGCTCGAGCACCCAAAGCAAGGGGCTAGTGCCTGGTCATGCCAGCCTATCGCTTGGCAACGAGGTATCGTTCGCTCAGTGTCTACCTGGCATTCGAGCGGTGTATGTATCCAGCATAAGGCTCGTTTTGCATTTTAACGCATTTTCAACATTCTATTTTATCACTCTACTTTTAGGGTTTATATTGAGCACCTGCAACTTGTAGACATAGCAAAACATTGATATAGCTGTTAGAGAGTTTTAAATCTTGATTGAGAGCATTAAAATCTTGTATTTACAACAGTCGTTATTAATAATAGTGAAATACTCCTCCTCTACCTGTGGTTTTTCCTGTATTGTGTTTCCACGTAAAATCTTGGTGTTCTTGTTTGTGATTGATTTATTTTAGCTTGTCAATTGTCTTACGCTTATTCACAACAATTATCTATCGGAATTGCATGTTGGAATTATGGAAAATTGTGTCTACTGGAATTGATTGTGGAATATAGTTATACATTTTCCGTTATGTTTTTTGGAGTATTGAAACTTTGCATATTGAAGTTCATGGGTAATTAGCAGAAAAAGTTTCAAAATTTCAATGTTATTGTGCAAAACGTCCATACTTTTTATTTTTGGCATTTTCAACCCTATTTCCACGTTTCATTGCGAAAAACGTCTTTTTGACAAATTTCTAACTTAAAACGACCAATATAGACTCTTATTTAAATAAAAAATGAAAAGAAAAATAAAGAACAAATTACAATCTTACTCCTAAATTTTTCAAAAAATTACAAATAACCTACTAAAAATAACTTCACCTTTTTCCTACACCCTACGCCCACCCCACTGATTATTTTGGAGATTCATGAAGCTGAAGATCTCCATCTCAACGACCACCCCTCAACCGCCACCTAAAACACTAGAGCATGCACCACAAACACTTGCCATCAACCCCCAAACACTTTTCCATAAACAAATTGAACAAACTACAAAATTTATATGGCCCAAATCAACCAAAAATGCAGCTTATCGTACTCGCAACATGTTGTCTTTTCCATCAACTCCAACTCCAACAGTGGTTCCCACCATCGTGGACCAACCATTCCCGCTTCACCACATCACGTCGCACTTGCTATAACAATGGGCTTCCATCAATTTCATTCTAATATGCCATAGAATTTATGACCAGTTATTGCCCAATAAAAATTGAAAGCTGTTATTGTAGATTTTGATTTTGTGCATCTGTTGATGTTTTAAGACCACGAAGAGAAGCGCCCTGCTGAGTATAATTGATTGGTATGTTGGGAATGGCATGGGTCACGCCGAAACAAGTGGTGTTGTCGTACTTGTATTCGCGAGTTAGGTATTTTGACTTGCAATTTTGACCAAATCTGTTGGCATGACGCTTGGATGTTGGGTGGTATGTGTAGAGGGGAGTGAGGAATTTCCGATGGTATGGGGTTCTAACGATTGTAGCAGCCCCATTTTTTCACAATGAAATGTGGAAATAGGGTTTGTACAATAACATTAAAAGGTAGAAATGCTTTATGCTAATTATCTGAAGTTCATTGCGTTACATTATTGAGATATAAGTGTTCATTTTTTGTTGAGTCAGATATTCTAATAGTTATGAAGAGATTTTCAAAAAGGAAAAATGTATTTGGCACTATTGATGATGATATACTTGACAATATTGATAACAATGTAATTATGTGATGTTTTTAAAGTATAACATGTGTCACGAAATTTTATATTTATTTTCGTTAATTTTATGTTGCTTTAATAATAATTTCTATAACTTAACTTTTGACCACACAATGAATAGTGAGCCACTTCCACGCCACAAGATTCTTTCGCGAAGCACTCTCCAAGGCATGTCCACTTCTGCCCCACAGGTAAAGAGATTTCAAGATACCACACAACCAAGTTCTAATTGAGATCAAGTAATTCACTTGATTAATTCGTCACTTTACCAATAGTTATTTAAATATCTCCTTGACTAGCCTAAAGGTTTTTTTTTTTTTTATGGTCGGTTTCTTAAATTGTCTACCTTCCATTTAGCAAATTTTGTTTAATATTAAAGAAATAAATAGGATCAAATCAGGTTTCATATATTTTGATCTAACGAGTCATATCATAGGAGAAATTTTAAAATCCATCTTCACTATATGCAGATTATAAATTAATTATATGATAATATGCAGATTATAATTAAGTATAAACAATTCAAAAGATCAAAATTTTCACTCTCAGAAGTCAAAAGTAAAAACAAGTAAAGAAATTAGACGGATGATAATGCATTGTGGGGAAAGGAGACATGGATTGGTACATTTTTGAGTGGGCAATAATTTGATAAGAATGTGAAATTTTCTGATTTAAAGATTTGAAAACGGCAATATTCTCAAGCTCTTCTTGTTAACTTGTTATGCTCATTGCCCATTTTATTATACAATTTTTAGAAACTATCCTTATGCAAATGTATTCTTCTATAATTATCTACCTAATACATGTTAGTATTTTTTGAACAAGACAACAATATTTATGTACGTAAAAAATGCTTAAATTATGATCACTTTTTGCATTCAATTATAAACGGAAGATTTAGGGGAGAACTGGTGCGGGTCCATTTCAGTTTTTTATATGCAAAAATTTTAATTTTTATAACTAAAAATTTTGTCCGTCCGACCCTGGATCCGGTTCATAGACCATTGGGCTTAAGGTAGCAAAAGAAACAAGTGTGCCAGTTACTCGATTTTCATTTTTAAGAAAAAACTAAATAGTACCAATTATCTTGCACAAGACATTTGGCATCATACGATCCTCAATAGAGACTAGCTTGTACAAGACATCTAGGTCTAAACGCACCACCAATTCTCCTAAATAAGGAAATGTTGGACATGCACCTAAGAATAAATAATAAATGAAGAAAAAGCAAGCTGCCTATGCTGCAATTGCCGATCACATGTGGCGAGGGACCAAATTATGTTTGTAAAGTATCATCGATTATCAACAAGAGCTAATGGAAATCGAAGCTAGTTTGGAAGTGCTAGGCATTGGCACCTACATACTAGTCTTGTGTTGTGGATGCACTTTGCTTCATAGCATTTTATATGCTCCTTATATTCGACGAGACTTGCTATTAGTAGTTATTTGCTTGGGCTATATTAAACTCATGTATGAAGGCACTTGTTCAACAAAATTAATAATTCACAATATCCAACAAGGAATAACGAATTACATATTGTCCCTACGAGTACTCAGCTACCGATTATCCAATATAAATAATTCTATATGGTTAATTGACATGCTAAAAGTAACAAGGAAGTGTGATTTTGTTAAACTAGATTCAAAATTGAAATCAACTACCTTGGTCAACAATATATTAAATTTGAGAAAACTTGATGATTTTAAAATTTTAGGACTCAGGATTTTGTTATCATATTCAACTTTGAGTATCAAGTTATGACAATTTATTTAATTAGTGTTGACAATCAAATTTATTTAAAACATTTGATGATTTCTATTGAGTAGAATCAAAGCTACTATAATAGTAATCTTGATATTTTTTTTACCAAATTAACCATATTTTCAATGTTTGCTATCAGAAAATGATAATTAACAGTGAATTATTTGATCTCTTGAATATATAGTTATCTGATTTAGATTAAGATAAAAACTATCGATCTTAAAAGACTTTTTTTTTTTCCATGGCAGTCCCTTGCTCCAAAGTTTGGTAATTAAGAATAGTATCTTTTGATTGTGTGTACGTAATTAATTTCCACGTTTACACCACAAGGCATTGACCAGAGTCAACTGTATGAAAGCATCAAACACGTTCATTTGTCATCTCACAATATCACAACACGTTAAAAACTTTCCTGTATTGGCTTTAATTTCAATCAATGCTTTTGAGACTATTTTTACTGGGTTTTCAAAGTTAATAAAGCTATAGATACATTTTAAATTATGGCGAGGTGACTACTTAATTGTGGAATTAATATAATATTTCAGCTAAACCAATCCCAGTTTTATTTTATTTTTCCAAAGGGGTCCTCCACTTTTACAGTGTCTAATGTGTACGTGAGAAATTTCATTGTGGAATTAAAGTCTCTGAGCTCAACCAATCCAAGTTATTTTGTTTTTCCAAAGGGGTCCTCCACTATACCGTGTCTGATGCTTTCATGAGATTATAAAATGATGATTCTGTGAACGCAAACAACTCAAAAACATATAGAATTTTTTTTATCAGTGTCAGAAAAAATAATGGATCTCAATATACTGCAGTTGCTACTGTTTCTGTGCATGAAAATATTGGTTTCTGGAGTCGGGGCCGCTGCTGAAGTTAGGTGCATAGAGAGGGAGAAACAAGCTCTTCTCAAGTTTTTAGGTGATCTTAGTGGGTTAACGTGGGGAAGTGAAGAAAATAAAGGGGAATGCTGCGATTGGGATGGTGTGGAATGTACCGACACTGGTCATGTAGTCTCGATCAATCCATTGACTAAGCTTTTAAGAGGTAAGATAAGTCCAGCATTGCGAGAGTTAAAGCATTTGCAGTCTTTGTCCCTCCATAGCGATAATTTGGCAACCGATAATCTTGATTGGCTTTCCGATCTTTCTTCTTTATATGATCTCAACTTGAGCGGTTGTAACCTAAGAAATGTAACCAACTGGGTACAGCCAATATCAAAACTCTCTTCACTCAAGGAATTGTACTTGTCAGGTTGTCAACTCCATGACTCTCTGTCTACATTTGATGTCTTTGCAAATTCTACTTTGTCGGACCTTTCTTCTCTTGATCTATCCTACAATAATCTCACTTCCATTTCCACATTTGACTCAATGTTTAACTTTAGTAGAAGTCTTGAGCAAGTAGACCTCTCCTATAATCAGTTAGACGGTCATATCCCTCATACTTTCTTAGAATTACGTTCTCTTCGGGATCTTAATTTGAGAGGTAATTTACTTCGAGGGGTTCACAAACCTTTGGAAAATTTTAGTCATTTGCAGTCAGTAGATATATCATTCAATAAACTAAATGTACCGCTTCCTCATTTATTTGAAAACCTATCAGAGATAATATCACTGCAGCGTATAGATTTATCCAACAATCAACTTGTTGGTTCCTTGCCAGACATCAGCAGATTTTCATCTTTAGAGAATTTTTACCTTAGTAACAATCAATTGGAAGGGGTCCAACCACAAAGCCTTGATCAACCTTCAAGTCTTAAATTTTTAGACTTATCTTACAATCAAATTTCAGGATCACTGTTGGACTTTGGAGGATTTTCGTCATTGTACGAATTAGATCTCTCCGGAAATCAATTGAAAAAGCTACCCAAAGCTATGGAGCAACTTTACAATATCACATATTTAAATCTCTCTTCAACTTCGTTGGAAGGTACAGTTACCGAACATCACATTTCAAACCTTACCCGCCTAAGACACCTTGATTTATCTTTCAACAATGTGTCTTTCAACTCGAGATTTGATTGGATTCCTACCTTCCAATTGGAACAGCTAAGCCTCAGTCATTGTAATATAGGGCCTTATTTTCCAAATTGGATTCGAAAACAGAATTCTCTTGAGAATCTCTATCTCTCTTTTGCTGGTATATCCAACACAATACCTGATTGGTTGTGGAATATGTCTTCCATACAACATTTAGATCTCTCTCATAATAATATCAGTGGCAGGATTCCCCATTCGCCCACAAATTTGGATTTTGTAGATTTAAGTTATAATAATCTTTCTGGCCCAATTCCATTGTCAGTTTTTCAAAATTCAAGCGCGTTGATACTTTCCGAAAACCTGTTATCGGGATCCATATTCAACTTATGCACAATTTCTGAGAAGTTCTTCATTCACACCCTTATTCTCCCAAACAATGAATTAGACGGAGAGCTTCCTAATTGCTGGATGAACTTTTATTCCCTAGTATATCTCAATTTGGCAAATAATAAGTTCTCAGGTAAACTTCCCCCCACTTTAGGCACTCTGACGTCACTTACAATATTGCATTTGGGCAACAATAATTTCATTGGTGAATTGCCTTCCTCTTTGAAGAATTGCAAAGCGTTGAGAAAGTTAGATGTGGGAGGAAACAAGTTAACAGGTACAATTCCATCGTGGATAGGAACACACCTAATATTTTTGGAGGTCCTTAGCCTTCGATTTAATAGTTTTCATGGATCCATTCCTCCAACAATTTGTTACCTTATCAATATTCACGTCTTGGACCTTTCTAGGAACATCATTTCGGGAAAAATTCCACGATGCTTAAACAATTTTACTTTTTTGGTCTTGAATGATGGTTCATCAATTCTCAGTGATGATCGCTCTTGGAATTTCAATTGGGAACCAGAGGATGAAGATGATAATGCTTTGGTTCAATGGAAAAGACAAGAGTCAGAATATAAAAGACTAAGAAATTTGAAAGGCATCGATCTTTCTAGCAATAAGTTAGTTGGAACTATTCCTCAAGCATTTTTTGATTTGAGAGGTTTAGTTTTCATCAACTTATCAAGAAACCATTTAACCGGGAATATTATTTCAAGCATTGGTCAATTGGACACATTGGAATGGCTTGACCTGTCTAGGAACCAACTTTCTGGGGAGATTCCAAATAGCCTTGCAAATTTACATTTTCTCAGTGTTTTGGACTTATCATACAATAATTTGATTGGCAAGATTCCACGAGGCACTCAACTACAGAGCTTCGACTCATCGACGTATGTTGGGAATAGTCAACTCTGCGGAGATCCATTGGTGGAGTGTCCTCATTACCCTTCGGTGAATGATCATGGCAAGATAAATGTTGTTGAAGAAGATGATAGGTTTATAAATAGAGATTTTTATATCTGCATGGTATTTGGTTTCATCACTGGGTTCTGGATAGTTATTGGCACTTTAATCCTCAAGCATTCATGGAGGCATTCCTATTTCAAATTTTTGAATGATATTGGAGATTGGATGTATGTGACTACAACAATCTATGTGACAAGATTAAAGAGAAAATTTATGTCCTAAAGGTTTGTTTATTTAATTATTTGCACCATGACTATGGTATGGAATTTATGAAAATAAATAGAGAAATCTTTTATCCTGGCCTGTTAATGTCCTAATCTTGACTTTGTTTATGACTGAAACCAGGTGCCTCTTTTTGGAAAAAATCAATGGTTGGAGTAGTGCACGGGCTATGAGCGATGTTGTTATTTAATTTAATTGACAACGTTATCATGTTTTCTGTATATTTGCAGAAATAAAATCAGTTTGTGAGTTCCAGTTGTTTTGTTGTAAAATAGTTACTTTAATTATTGAAAATAAATAAATAAAAATTTCTAATTGATATCAAGCATTCCAGGTGAATATTCGTTGCTTTAACACTTGTTATTTAAATATCTCACTTTAAAAATTTATAAATGATTTATACTCATAAGTAACTTCTTCTTAGAGGTAATTTCGTTATTTTAACTTGGTATAAATATTTAAATTTTATGTTTGATACTTTAGTAGATATATTGCCGATGATACTATAGTTATGAATGGTTGGACTTGGGACCATAACTTACTCAATTGGAGCTGCAATTGTTTTTTTGGATAAGGTAAGTATATTATATCCAAAGTATAAAAATAAGTACAAATCACAGGGGCATAGCCCAGGAAACAATGCTAGGAATTAATGCCTTCCTAACAACAATAACAAAACTCTAGAAATGTGCTCATATTCTAATCACGAGAACAAAAAATATTTGTAGAAAACCCCCAAGAGCATTGGAGCTATCTATTTTCATTAGATGGAACCAAGCTCCTTCACAAATTCACTCGTGCACAAATAGTAAAAACAATATCTTGAATAACAGTAGACTCATTTTTAGGAGCTTCTCCATGGGTCCTAGCATTACGTTCAAGCCAAATAGCATAAATCGAAGCCGCAAACATTAACCGAATAACAATGGAGGACATTGACCTCCCTCGAAATTGTTCCATCCAAGAAAGAGTGTCTAGCCAACTCCGTTGGACCCAAGGCAAGTTACACTTCGCATGCAGAGCATTCCAAACACGCTCAGAAAATGGGCAAGCAAAGAAAAGATGATCCAGATCCTCCACTGAACATCCACATAGCACACAACACATAGACTGTACCAAACCAAAGCTAAGAAGCTTTGTCTGTGTATAGATGCCACCTTGAATTACTAACCAAAGGATAAATGCATGTCTAGGAATACATTTAGGGAACCATACAATGTGATACCAAGTCACCCTAGGGTAGCGAAGTCGAAGAGACTCCCAAGCACTCCAAACAGAGAATACTCCATGTGTATCATCCTCCCATCGCAATACATCCTCTCTATTGCTGTCCGGTCGAAAAGTATCAAGCGTATCTCGCATCAAATCAAACAAAGCTGGGAAGCGAACTGATGGCCATCTCCAAGTATCACCCTCCACAATATCAACCACTTTAGATAGTCTACTCAATCTGGATTCACGAATGATCGTCTCTCCAAGAATCTTTTCTAAAGGGCCAAGAGGATGCCAATTATCATACCAAAGCGAGGCACGTCTACCATTCCCAATTCTGATTTTCATTTTGTCCCTCCCTATATCCCGGAGTCCAAGAATTTTCCTCCAACTCCAAGAACAATCCCCAGGACACTTCAATTTCCAAATGCTCCATCCTCTAAGTAAATAACAACATGTCCACGAAACCCAAAGAGAGGAGGCAGAATCCAAACAAAGGAACCAAAGATGCTTTAACATGGTAGCCTTATTCCAAATCTCCAAGCCCCGCAGACCCAAACCACCCTCCTCCTTAGGCATACAGATTTTTGCCCAAGCCACTTTAGCCCCACCGATGACAAGGTCACTACCCTTCCACAAGAAGGCCCGCAATGAATTTTCCACTTGCTTGATCACAGTTTTGGGTAAAAGAAATACAGAGGACCAATAAACCTGAATAGAAAATAACACTGACTTAATAAGTTGTAACCTCCTTGCATAGGAGAGCGCTCGACGGGTCCAACTCTTAGCCCTAGCTATAATACGGTCCAGCCATATGTCACCAGATCTGATAGAGAAACAAGAAATGGTGGAGGCTCTGAAAGTTCAGAGAACCAAAATATAAAAAAGGAGAAATTTTATTGCAAAGAATCAAGGACGAATTTTGATGTTGCTATTTTTCCATTATTTAAAAAGACTGGACTTGGAGAAAACATACATTTCATGAATGTTCCATATAAGTTAAATAATGTTATGTTGTGAGGTTCAAGGAGTGTGTGATAAAAGAATAAATAAAAATTGTAGATCTTAAAGTGTATGATTACATATAATGTTTAACCAATTTAGCACTATCAAATAAATTAAGCTAAAATACACTCATTTTCAAAGTCATGTTCGGAGATAGAAGTGAATATCTACTTTCCAACTACTCATCATTAGAGCTAGACAATGGCAAATTTACGTGACCTCCACAGAAATTTATGAACTTTCATGCATTATTAGGTTTTCAATTAATTCTCTATTGAGATGTTAATTCATTAAATTGTATTTCTATTGAAGACATTCGTGTCATGTCAAGTTTAGACATCGTTTTCACTTTTAAGGTAAGCAATAAGTCCTAACTCATGGGTTTTGGATTTTATGAAATTGGAATTTGTTAATTTTTATTTTTAGGAAATTGGTTGTTTTCTAATGTGATTTAATGGAATGCTGGGACCTTAGCATTTGTCTGTTGAAATTAATTATATTTTCATGGTGGGAGTTATTATTTGATATATATTAGCATTCATTAATTTGTTGAATTTCCATGTCAAACAATTATGGAAGGTTATCAACAAAAAACTTCATTTCCAAGTGAAGAGCAAGATTTTGGTTAAACGAGCGTTCAAGAGAAAAAAGATATTTTGGAAAAAAAATTTGTATCCTACTTTTTGACCCCATTCTAAAAATATCTAGCTCCATCACTAGAGCTAGATCATACACAGTGGGGAAGTTACTACTTGCAGAAAAAAATTCCTAGTGAGGAAGTTACTACTTGCAGAAAAAAATTCATTCTGGATAATTATAGTCTTACTTGGTGTTGTTCAAACATCTGTGCTTCAATTTTATGAAATTGAGTAATTATACGTTAGTTTTATTTCAGTCTCACGAATAAACTCCGATTTGGTTTCAATCATGTAACAATATTTTGATTTGATTTTAATCAAGGTAATTTTGTCCAGTCCCACCTAGAGAAATTGATAACATGACAGTCAATAAATGATTGTCATCGCACATAAATATTATTTCCTAATGTGGAATAAGTACATCTTTAGCAAAATAAATGAATATCATCATTTTTTTACTATTGCTTATCATTTTCAATCAGTCTTAGAGATAGGAATTTAATTTATTCGATTGGAATCAAATTAAAGCCTAGTTACTCAATAGAACAAAATTGATGTACATTTATCTAATTGAAAGTAAAAGGAGAAAAGAAAAGGTATAATTAATGTGAAAGAAAATTATGTGAAAAAGAAGTTGACAGTAATTCACTGCACGAAAAAAAGGTTTTTGAAATAGCCAAAAAACGTTGCAAAAAACCTTTTGCAGCAGCGTTCTAGCGTATGTTGCGAAGGTTGATGCTGCCGTTGAGGGAATAGTTTTTGAAAACGTTGCGGTAACCTCTCTTTTGCAACGTTTAACAAATGTTGCCGTAGGTTTTTTTTTTTTTTTTGTTGTTGTAGAGTAATTCACATATATCAATCACGAAACATAATAGAAAATAATTACATCAAATAACTCCAATAATCATTATTCATTGAATTCTAAAATGTAACAATATTCGTACAAAATTCAGATCCAAAATTCTAAAACACCTAAAAATCCAATACATTTTCCCAAAAAAAAAAAAAAAAAATCACTAACTAAGTAGCGTGTGAAATCATCCTATCGGCCTCCTTAATTTTCTTCTCAGCAATCTTCGACATGAGTTGTGCCTTAAATATCGGTCCTAGCCTATAAAGAAGGGAGATAAAATATATACCACACTTTAGACATTTGTACCAATTATAATCGAAAAGAAAAGCAAATAAAAATAAGTAAGAACCATTGGCAATACATGAACCTGAAAAAGAAAACTCATAAACCACATCGCTTCTAGAAACGCCTAATTAGATGTTACTGTAAGTATTATGCCCTAGGTCCAATCAACTTTGGATATAAATACTTTTATATATAATTAATGCAATTAAATGGCAGATCTATTATTTAATTAATAGACAATTAAATAAATAATAGAGTCCGTAAATTCAAATATTTGTAATTTGTTAATCACAAGGAGTTGTGATTGTGAGATACAAATTACATCTGATTGAATCTTAAATCATCCGTGGTCGTAAGTAATAACGAGATACGGATATCATTATTACGGATAGACCATCACGTGTGGCATTTCTTACTTGTGAAGTAAGTAGCTGATCTCACAAGCTAAAGTGTGGTGACACTTAAATGAACACGTGGATGTTTTTGTTATAGAACAAAACATTGGAGACCCGTCGAGAGATTCCACATGGACAACTATCTGAGTGTCAGTGGTTAATTTCTAACGTTCGATAGTGGAATTGGTCCTTTGACTTGAGGTCGTCATAGTACCTTATATGAGGACAGTCATACTTTGGCGATGTTGGATGTTGCTCTGAAAAGGGCCGCTAATACGACATTATTCGGGTACGTCAAGAATCGTATGAAGGCTGTGATTGATCAATAAAGGATTCGTCACTCTTAGATAGTAGGAGATTATGATCTGCGTTTCATTCAATTAAGTCAATAATGAAATCCTTGGCCAAGGTGTACTCATAAGTCGAAAAGGAGTTTTCGTTTTATATTGACTTAATAATGGAGTGAAAGATATGATCGATGATCGAGATTGACACAACTCCATATCTCGTAATTAATCGGATCATATTGACGAAGGGATTATAGTTTCACGGTAAACGAACGAATTTGGTTTTGTCATACCACGTGACATTTCCCGTCACATGTATTGCCCTGACACATTGCTAAATGTCAATCAGGGACGACGAATGTGAATTGACGATAAATTAAAAGGGTGTTTTAATTTATCAATTTTGATTATATCAAAATAATATTTCATGTCGTTAGGCATTGTGGTCGGGAACCTAATGGGTCACACACAAAAGAGAATTGGAAGATTGCAAATTGCCAATTGGTTAATTTAACAATCGTTGGATAAATTAATTAATTGGATTTGTAATTTATATTTTCGAATTAATTAATTGGATTAATTAATTCACGGACCGGGTTTAATTAATTGGATTAATTAATTATTGGACCGTACCGGGCCGGGCCGAACCTGTTTGGGTTTATATAAATACATAACTAGGGTTTGAGGTCCATTAAGGTTTTCATTATTTTTGCTAGCACAAGAGAAAACCCTAGAGGCTGCAATCATATTCTCTGTGTGGATCACCGTTGGAGGCTGGACAATTGGACAGCTGTGGTGGCGAATCAAGGTTGTGGAACGAAAAGAAAAGCAAAAGGATTGCAGATCTGAAAAAGGTACAATCTTATCACAATTTCTATCTAAACACAAACGCAATTCTTGACTGCAGCGGCGGCGCACCGCCCGTGTCCGACCGCGCACAGTAGTAGCAGCACGCTTGCATGCTGCTGCGCGCTTGCTGTAGCTGGCAGCGGTAGTGACGTCGCTGCTATTGCAGCGGCATCACGCCGCTGCTGAAGGAAGGCAGCAGCGCCGCGCGGCGCTGCTGCAAGGGCGAAGCCGCCGCTGTAAAATAGCGGCGGCTGTTGTCATTTCGCCGCCCCCTAATATTTAAATAAAAAAAAAATTTGGATTTTAGGGTTAATCGAGTGAGAGGTTGGTGGAGACGGGAGTCTCCTCTGCAATTAATGTAATTGTGGGGGCCTGGCTGCAATATGATGTTGGGGGTCCATTTGTTAAAATTTTAAAATAATGGTTATTTTGCAAAAGGTTGATATTGAGGACCATTGCTTGCAATTCCACTACCGGGGGCATTTCTGTAAATAACAAAAAGGGGCCCTTTTATAATTTAAAGAAATTGGAGGTCCTGTTTATAATTTTTGAAATTGGGAGCCTCTGATTGTAATTTTAATCTTGGGTAAATGTGCAAATTTCAAAATGGTTTTGATTTTGAATTTTAAAATGGTTTTAAAATTATATTCTAAATGGGTTTGACTCATAATTTAATTTTGACCCAAATTAAAATTTTATTTAAAATTGACGACATTTTATATTTTCGTTAAAATTAGATTTTGACTTAAATATTAAATTATGACTCCAATTGAATTTTATTTTATATAGGAGTGTTATCCTAATTTAAAATATTGATTCAATTTAAATTAGAGTTGGACTCCAATTTAGGACCTAGTTAAAATTCGTTTTAATTAAATTTTCACCCGAAGATTTTTTAGAAATTAGAATTGTATTCTAATTTGATATTTAATTAAAATTTGATTTTAATTAAATTGTTTCGCCCTAAACTTTTCTTTAAATTAGAGTTAGACTATAATTTGATGTTTAATTAAAATTTGATTTTGATTAAACATGTTCGCCCTAAAATCTTAGATTTAGAGTTGGACTCTAATTTTACCATTTAATTAAACTTTGATTCTAATTAAATTCATTCGCCCTTAAATATTGGAATTAGAGTTAGACTCTAGTTTTATCATTTAATTAAAATTTGATTTTAATTAAATTCAACCGCCTTACATTTTGAAATTAGAGTTTGACTCTAATTTGATATTTAATTAAGATTTGATTTTAATTAAATAATTCCGCTATATAATTGTTGAATTAGAGTTGGACTCTAATTTGTTATTTAATTAAAATTTGACTTTAATTAAATATTCCCGCTAATTAATTAATCGATTAATATGATTAATTAATTATTTAATTAATCCGATCCATTTGTCTAAAAGAGTTTAGACGACTTAATTGCTAGAAACTTGAAATTTATTTGCATATAATATTAGATATTATATATGTATACATTTATGTGATGAATGTATTATTAGTGGACGATTATGGACTCGACCATATGGATGTGTTGAATGGTTAATTTTTAATTTTGTCGTTTTATGGGCCTGCGAGCTCTTAATTGTTTTGGGCCTGCGAGCCCGTTATTATTGTTATTATTTTGGACCTGCGAGTCCATTATTATTATTATTGTTACTATGGGCCTGCGAGTCCAATTTCATTTAGGCCTACGTGCCAACTAGTATAAGATACATGTTGGAATTGGACTAATTGCAGAGATAAGAAGAGGTGGAGACCATGGAGATGGTGCATTGACACTGTTCAATGCTATACCCCCTAGGAATTGACCAACTAGTCTTCTTTATGGTTCGAGAAGACGAGATAGTAAAAGTTCATTATCGTCCACACTATTATATTATGCATAGTAAATGTATAATAATAATATATATATGATTTTATTATTGTTGATGAGACTCATAAATACAAAATCCCTCCATAAAATATTAAGTCACATTTGTAATCGCCTTCCATCATTATAGTGAAAAATTAGAGTTTCAAATCGTCTCAGCTTGTTGAGTACACTCAAGGCTGGTCCATTAGGAATATATTTGACACTATGAAATATTTGATATTTCTGAATGATGGATTTGACTTAACTAAAATTTATCTTTTGTTGAATACACTCAAGGAGATAAATTTTAGAGGCATGTTAAGCTAACACATAAGATATGTGAAAACAAAGAGTTGTCAGCTTAATGATTTGGAAGTTGTATGGAGATACAATTGATAATAGTATCTACCCAAATATTATATTAGGGCTTGTTGAGTACACTCAAGGTCTTAATATAATAGATGGGATCCCAGCCCACTGGGAGTGAAGCATGGACTCCATAAATTTATGTGAGAGGGTCATAAATTTTATTTAAACTGTGGGAGCATAATTAATGTAATAAAAGTCCATGTTAAATTAATTAATGCATTTTTATATTTTATTCTTTTCCTTTTCGTCATTTACATTTATATTGAATCTGAGTAACCATATGTTTTGCATGGCATACTAGATGCCAACAACCAAACTATATTTTCTTAATTGACACTGCAATTTGAGAATTGTTCTTATGCATGAGAAAATTGGTCACGTCCTTGAGTAGCCCTTTCCAGAGACACCTGCTGATGACTCGATTAAAGAAGAGGTGGCTACTATAGTAAACGCAGTGATGATAATAGTATTGTAACGTATGTGATACTTGCATCTATGTCACTGAGTTACAAAAGCAACTTGAGAGTATAGATGTTAACACATAATTCTTCATTACAAAGAGTTGTATGATAATAATCATGTGTGGAAGGATATGAGACTTCCAAACAACTATACCGGTGCAAAATGACAGAGTAATCTTCAATCGATGCTTAGACACTGAAGATGATTGACGTTGAGAAATGTCTCAACTGTATTCAATCATAAACCATGAACTAAGTGGTGACTTGGTCCTGTAATCTCTGTCAGCTAAAGCTATTCACAACTAATTATGAATTTAACGTGAATAAGCTCGAATGCAAAAATATTGAGTTGCTTAACATGCTTAGAACTGTTAACCCCCTTATCAAAATTGGTAGTGGGCAAACCATTGATTTCTTTAAAGATATTAAGAGGAAGTCTAAAGGGGCTTTGTGAAAGCACCCAATATGGTTAAGACAGTATAAGCGAAAGGACAAATACCAAATCTAATGACCCTTGGTTTCATTATAGAATGAAAGGTCAATGGAAGGAATATTGTATGGCTTACGTCTACTTCACGAGTTTCTTAGATATATGATACCAGGTGTAAATATCGTATTTATACAAATATGGAGAAACTAAATAGAAGTATACTACTGCGAAAGGAAGAAGTTAACCTACATGATGGAGATGAGCAAATGTTGCTGCATTGCCTGTAGGAACATACTTCTTACCGTTGCCCTTTGATTTAGTATTGGAATTAGAAAAATGTCATTTTATGCCAATTGTAGCTGGAACATTAAAATGAATTTCATGTTCGGACATGAACTATTTTAATGTTAAGGACAATTGTTGTTCTTGTTTATCTTGTTAAAGATCCTAATGGCTATGGTAAATTATAAAACGACATTTATATTCTTTAATACTAAAGATTCTATAATAAGTATAGAAATTATAAGGCATAAATACTATAATCTAATTATTACCAAAATCTGGCATGACAGACTTTGTCATTTAGATGAAATATAATTCCAAAGTTACATAAAGATGTATTCTTAGGATTAATTCATTTTGACAAGTACAAATTATGCATGTCTGGTACAAATCTTTTTTTATTTGAAAAGAAGAAAGGTCAGCATAATTACTGATCTAATGCATAGTGATGCATATGGACTCATGTAAAAGGATGCCAGGTAATGTTTCTCTTATTTCATTAATGATCATGTATACTTGATGAAAACTCAAACATGAAATTCTTGAAAAGTTCAAGGGATTCACACTAGAATTAGAGAAACAAATAGGCAAAGATAGCCACACATTAAGATTCGATCAAGTGAGAGTATCTTAAAGATAAAATTTAGATTATTTAAGAGAGAATGAGATTCTCGTGCAGTGGACTCCTTCATATACACTGCAGCAAGGTGGTGTATCTAAAAGGAGGAATCGTTAATTATTACATATAATGCGATTAATAACAAGCCATGCAAATTTCTCAAAATTGTTTTGAGGTCACGCATTGATTGCAGTGTGCAACACACTAAACCATGTCCCATCTAAATTGGTTAACAGAACTCCACACGAGTTATGGAAAGACAATAGTCCCAATTTATCTTATATGAAAGATTGGGGCTATGACGCTTATTTGAAGCGCCTTAAATCGGATAAGGTTGAGACTAAATCCGATAAATACATATTTGTGATATATTCAAAAGAGACAATTGAATATAAATTCTATTATCATGAAGAAAGTTTTCGTCTCACGACATATCGTCTTCCTAGAGAAAATGTTTACTCTAGGAGAGGACAGTGGGAGTAAAATAGAATTTTGAAAGAGTTCAAAAGTCCACAGATATAGTTAACCAAGTAGATAAATCTGGGTTTGATCCCATATCTGATATGTGATATACTTTGGATCAGGAAGTAAAGACTCCTGAGGACATGACAGCTCTATGTGAATCTAGTAGGCTCGTTCGACCTTCAAGAAGGTGCGAATCATTAATCAGTGATCCAGGATAATGAACCTGCTAGTTGCGACAAAATAAAGTCAAGTGTTGACTTAAAAGAGACAGCAAGAGGCCATGAAACTCGACGCAAGTGAACAAGGTTTGGACCTTGGTCAAGCCTCCTAATGGAATAAAGTCCATAAGCTTTTGTAAATAGTTTACAAAAAAAAAGGTCGATATGGATATGAATATCCATATATACAAAGCAAGGCTAGAAGCAAAGGTTAAATGTTGATCTTGGTGAAATATTTCTCCTGCAGCCTTGCTTAAGTCCATTCGGGTTTTGTTTGCAACAGTTGCATATCGTGACTATAGGTTAAGAGAAGTCTCTTGGAGCTGAAATCTTAGATTTGATGAAAAGTCAAAGTGTTTGATTTTATCAAATTTGAAAATGAATTGTGTGTTTACAAGAAGATAGTGGGAACATTTTTCGTATTCCTAAAACGACATCCCTATATTTCAATCGTTGAAATAATGGTTGTGAAAGGAATTATTCATAAATGATATGGGATAAGTAACTTGATCTATGGAGGTAGATCTAGAAGATTGCTTAACTCATCCCAATTTACATAGATGAAATCTTGAGAAGATTTCATATGGAGAAACTGGTTTACTCTTAAGCGGTATGTTGGAAAGGTTCCAAACGTGAAGCAAACGTTGATTCAATAGTAGAAACCTAATACATGGATACTTCAGAAGTAGCAAAGAGTTGCAATATGGATCATCATGTTCATAAATGAACTTGGAGTAGTTCCTGATATTGTTGATCACATACAATAGTATTTGTAAGTATTATGCCCTAGGTCCAATCGACTTTGGATATAAATACTTTTATATATAATTAATGCAATTAAATGGCAGATCTATTATTTAATTAATAGACAATTAAATAAATAATAGAGTCCGTAGATTCAAATATTTGTAATTTGTTAATCACAAGGAGTTGTGATTGTGAGATACAAATTACATCTGATTGAATCTTAAATCATCCGTGGTCGTAAGTAATAACGAGATACGGATATCGTTATTACGGATAAACCATCACGTGTGGCATTTCTTACTTGTGAAGTAAGTAGCTGATCTCACAAGCTAAAGTGTGGTGACACTTAAATGAACACGTGGATGTTTTTGTTGTAGAACAAAACATTGGAGACCCGTCGAGAGATTCCACATGGATAACTATCTGAGTGTCAGTGGTTAATCTCTAACGTTCGATAGTGGAATTGGTCCTTTGACTTGAGGTCGTCATAATACCTTATATGAGAACAGTCATACTTTGGCGGTGTTGGATGTTGCTCTGAAAAGGGCCGCTAATACGACATTGTTCGGGTACGTCAAGAATCGTATGAAAGTTGGGATTGATCAATAAAGGATTCGTCACTCTTAGATAGTAGGAAATTATGATCTGCGTTTCATTCAATTAAGTCAATGATGAAATCATTGGCCAAGGTGTACTCATAAGTCGAAAAGGAGTTTTCGATTTATATTGACTTAATAGTGGAGTGAAAAATATGATCGATGATCGAGATTGACACAACTCCATATCTCGTAATTGATCGGATCATATTGACGAAGGGATTATAATTTCACGGTAAACGAACGAATTTGGTTTTGTCATACCACGTGACATTTTCCGTCACATGTATTGCCCTGACACATTGCTAGATGTCAATCAAGGACGGCGAATGTGAATTGACGATAAATTAAAAGGGTTTTAATTTATCAATTTTGATTATATCAAAATAATATTTCACGTCGTTAGGTATCGTGATCGGGAACCTAATGGGTCACACACAAAAGAGAATTGAAAGATTGCAAATTGTCAATTGGTTAATTTAACAATCGTTGGATAAATTAATTAATTGGATTTGTTATTTATATTTTCGAATTAATTAATTGGATTAATTAATTCACGGACCGGGTTTAATTAATTGAATTAATTAATTATTGGACCGTACCGGGCCGAACCTATTTTGGTTTATATAAATACATAACTAGGGTTTAAGGTCCATTAAGGTTTTCATTATTCTTGCTAGTACAAGAGAAAACCCTAGAGGCTGCAATCATATTCTCTGTGTGAATCACCGTTGGAGGCTGGACAATTGGACAGCTGTGGTGGCGAATCAAGGTTGTGGAACGAAAAGAAAAGCAAAAGGATTGCAGATCTGAAAAAGGTACAATCTTATCACAATTTCTATCTAAACACAAACGCGATTCTTGGTGGGAATCGAAAATTATTTTAAATTCCGCTGTGCATGTATAAGTAGATTCCCAACAATTACAACGGTCCCAGAACCATTTTTCTAAGCATAGTTAATTTACCAATGAGACTAATGAATGCTAATTCTCAAAATTTTACTATCCAACTAACCAACTGAAGCCAGATGCATGCCAAAACTCCATATGGACATGAATTTAGCTAAGCAGGCCAGAACAAATACAGGTTGTGGGTAAAAGAGATGTCTTACTGGGAAAAATGACTGAAGATCAACTAAATAATTCAATGAACAAACTTAAATCAATAGTCAATACATTTACCATCTCAGAATTGACAGAGAAAACATGGTGATGGTTTTAAAATTCAAGTGAATATGATATGATAGTTTATCCCAAAAATACAAATTAAATAAAAAGAAAATTGGGTTATGCTCACCTTAAAGCTAATGTCCACAAGATGATCATCAAGGTGTTTAAATTTGCACCAACAGGAGGCATACAGGATGGAGATATCCAAAAGCCAGCCTATAAAATATCTAAAAGTCAGACTATTTCTCAAAATTGTATAAGTAATATGTCTGGTTCATTTAAATGTAATTAGCTCTTTTTCTGGGTTTAGTAGTGTTTTTATGTCCATTTTCTTTCTACAATTTTATTGCTCTTGAAGGTAGAATCAGAGTTTCTAACTCTCAACATTTTGCCGCCAAGTTAAAAAGATCACAAAAATTATTACCCAGCATAAAGAAGTGGCAATACTTGCCTGCGCGTAACTATTTCTTGGGTCAGCACCTGAATTCTCAAAAACACATTTTTTTCAACTTCGCTAGCACTAGATAGTAGATAGTCCTAGCAGCATAGTGCTTTGATCCAATGTAATTGCGAGCTGAATTGACAGACAATTTCGGCGAAGACTGAGATAATACAGAAAAACTGCAAACTTAAGGCTATATGCTAAACATTCAATTTTCAATTACAAAAGAGCTAAAACATGCACCAGTAAGACAATGGTTAAATCTAACCTTATGAAACTGTAAAATATTTACGATATTATGTCAGCTTAAAAGTTGGTAGAAAATTCAATGTTGAATATGCAAGCATTCGCTAATGTCGATATTAAAGTTGTGTGACATAATGAGCTTTTGGTGTCTCAAAAAACTTACAATCAGCATGGAGAGACAAAACTGATTCATTTTTTATGTTACTACTGCATATTTAGCAAAGTGAATTTTGATTGTGTATTTATTACTATCATCAAGTGAATATGATATACACGAGGTAAACACTAACTAACTGCCGTTTTCTCTCCAAGGTTTTCACGACTTCAGCATTCGTATAATTATTCAAAAGTACAACATAATTAGACAGCTTTTCTGGTCCCATCCCATAAAATTTCTTAACAGCAAATTTCCCAAGCACAAAATTCTTGTGAATCCTACAAGCTGTAAGTAAAGCAGCCCACATGTTTATAGTAGGCCTGAATGGAGCATCTCTTATCAATGCAAAAGCTTCATCCAGAAGCCCTTCTCGGCCTAATAATTCAATCATACAAGTACAGTGCATTGCTCTAGGTTTCACCTTGTAATCCCTACTAAATGCCTCTGCATAATCTCCAATATCCACAAGCCCCCCAAATTATGATATTCCAAGAAACCAAGTTTCTTTCAGGCATAGTGTCAAACAACCTATGTGCATCGATCATCATCCCGCATTTCACGTGCATCAACAGCACCCTGTTTCTTATATACAAATCCGGCTCAAACCCAGAATTTAGCATACAATTAAACACCCTTTTGACACCTCTAATTGATTTCAAACCAATGCAAGCACTAACCAAAGAATCATAAGTACTACAGTTAATATCATTATCATCCTCGCATGCCAAAATCTCAAACAATTGAAGAGCCTTACGGTACCTTTTGTACAAAACCAACAATTAATTAGAAAAACCGGTGGTGGCGACCTTTGGGCTTTCACCATGCACTACTGGAGAGGCGGCGCCGGCAAGTGCGTGACAGATTGAGAGTGAGAGAGATGCACTAAATATTTCTAATTATTTGTTGAGAGCAAGGCTGTGAGAGAAGACTGAGAGATTGAGAGCACCGTGGACTATCGGAGAGGTGGCGTCGGCTATGGCGACGGTGAGTGACAAGTGAGACTGAGAGATTGAGAGCGAGGTTGTAAGCGAAGATTGGGAATTTAGGTTAACTTGTCTTCTATTTTGTTTGAGGGGGTGACTTTAATTAAAAATTCCCTTTTTCGCAAAGTTTATTCAACGTTGAAAAAAATATTTTACTTTTTGCAACGTTCAGTCAATGTTGTGAAAAGTGTTCTTTTGCAACGTTTATGAAGTGTTGCAAAAAGTAAAATTTAACATTCAATAAACGTTGCAAAAGAGAAATTTTTTGCAACGACTATTAGCGTTGCAAAAGGCGAGTTTCAACAACGTTTATTAAATGTTGCAATAAATTTAACTTTTAGCAATGTTTAATAAACGCTGCAAAAGGTTAAACATTTCGTAACATTTGATAAACGTTGCGAAAGGCGACATTAACAACATTTATTTACAAAATGTTGACAAAGCTGAATTTTTTTAACTAATTGCAACGTTTACTTGTTCAAATGTTGCTGTAAACCCCTTTAGCAACACTTTACTATTGAATATTGCATTTTATGTGTTACAAATGATCATTTTTTGTGCAGTGATTGTAAAAAGTCTATACCTTTGTTTGAAAAAGAAAAGTTGTAGAGCATCTCTTTAGTTCAAATCAACATTTCATCTACTTTATACACAATATAATTACACTTTAAACTACATGCAAAATTTATGAAACTAATTCAATATCAATCTTCTTGAGGAATGCTCTGCTATGATTCTCACTCAAACAAAACAAGCAACTTAAACAAGCATCAATTATATCCTCATCTTTTAGACGTTAAAGAGTCTCAAGTTGCTTTTTGTTTATAAATCACCACGAACTCCCAACTTCAAAAGCGTAAAAAAATCAATGTTATTATGTACGTGCACACGCACACGCACACGCACAAACACACCCACACATTCTTTTTATATATTTCATTATCTCTCAATTAAAATAATTTATATTAAATTATATTATAGTCGATATAATTGCTTAAATCTCTTAATTGATACTTTCCTCGCTTAAAATAGAAAACATCAAAATAAAACAAAATTTTTTTACATAACTATTTGTAGTTTACAGTTTTTTCAAATCATATAAGAATTGGACTGAATTGAACAAAAAAAGCGATCAACTTTAGTCTAGACAATTTCTGTTCGTAGATGAATCCTTGTGATTTCATGTAAAGAATTTTTTCTGAGCTTAAATCAATTTTATTATAATTTAAAATGAGCCATGCATATCCCTAACTAGAAGGACGCCATAGGTTTAGTAAATTGTAAAAAAATTAAATAAAAAAAAAACTATGAAATAGAACTCCCCAGTAAAAACAAATTAAGAACTTATTTGTAAAAAATTAAAATGTTAGGGACATCGGAGGCAATTTTCCGTTCAAAACAAAGAGGGAGGATGTGTCACGTGGGTATGGCCCATGAGCTCAAGCGGATATGACCCGTATGGGCATGGAGCAGAAGGACTTGATCTCGTACAATCATTGGATACTTCCTCCTTAAATCTTTCCGAAGTTAAATCAAGTGGTCCGTATTATTTCTACGTGCTAACGAAAAGGTGTTTGCACATAAATTTGCTTTCTTAAGTCAAAATATTGGTTATTCTAGTATTTTTTTTTTTTTTTAACTCAATCACCAATCCTAGTATTTTTACCTTTCTTTTCAATCACGCAAAAAAATAAAAATAAAAATAGAAATAAAAGAAAAAATGGAGAAAAAAAAGCCAATTTCACAAAAACAAAATTTAAGCAATGATAGATGCTCTAGTTAAAACAGTTCTAAAGGTCGGTACTGGATAATTACGTTTTGCAGAGTCATCGTGCATGACATTCATGTTCTAACCAAAAACCAACTTGCACTAATCGCTAGGATTTGGAAATGGTCTGCAGGATTTAAACCTAGGTCTCGAAGGAGAGCAATTCACAATAAACATTTTGAAATTGTGATTAGTATAAAAATATTTGACAAGATTCTCCTTTCTCAAATAACATCAGATGATTCAAAATTGATTATTCTGTTGAACAATTAAATTTAAAAGCTACAAACAATATATCAACTAGCAGACCTAAATATATCGAAATCCTAAAATATACCTTCTCATCCACAAAATGGAGGACAATTCGAAGGAGCCACCAAATTTAATTTCACGTGAAGAGCTACAATATATTTGTCGTAGCTAGGAGAAAAATGGTTGGCATAAAAATATAGGATTTATTTATTTATTTATTTATTGTTTAAATATAAGTACAGGTTTATTTCAATAGGACAAGACTTGATGGTGAAGTACAGGTTTGTTACAACTATCACACTCCTACGAACGTGATGGTGGAATATCAAGACATAAGGGTTGGTCAGCAAAGACGATTTATTTAGTGCCAAATATATGTATTTCAAATTCTTTTAGTCAAATTGGCTACAATCGATTTGAGTGGATCAAAGGATTAGGTACGAGCTCTGAAGCACTTGCTTTCACTTTCAATGTTGGCAAAGGCAGAGAAACAAGGGAGGGATAGGCGACTGCTAAGTAAAATTTTTAAATTTTTTTGGACAATTTTTCTAATATATATTAAAGGAAGAATTGTAGCGATGATGCCAAAACTTTCACTTTAATGTAGCCTTGACCAAAACTTTTAATTTGTGGTGCTCACGGTACGTATTGAAACATTCAAAAACTCGCTCCTAGAGTCCAAATTAATGAAAAATTCTCTATTAGTTGATTAAAAATCAATGATATAACCAATTTGGATACAAATCAGGGAAGAGGTGGTTGGGATATGCTTTTGAAAAGAAATAAAAAGAAGCTCCCATTCATTTAAGAGTGAGCGATCCTAGTAGAACTCTAATAGACTGAATTAACTAAGGTTGTCTTGGTTACAAGGGATTTTGATTTCATTAATAAATATGACTTAGCCTCTGTTTAGTGAATTGCAAATGGTTTATGAATAGTAATGGCATTAGGTCTGAAGAAATATATGGCAAATAACGAGTAATTATTATGAATGTGATTAAAAATAAATATTTGATTCTGACTTAACTTATAAACTAATGTATAAATTGTATCCAAACAGAGGCTTAGTTTATGGTTGTGGTCATTTTGGGATAAGGAGGGAGGGGTTGTTTGTGGATTTCCAACATTGCCAAGTTGTCGTTTTGTCCGAACTGAGCCAAGAAATACTATCTATTGATCGCTAGTTCCATGCTATGGTTTTCATGAACTATATACTGCATTCTTTACAACTTGAAAAAGTCTTTTAAATGAAGAAGATTTGAAACAAAGGTTTGTTTTCTTCATGTAATTTAAATTTCTGAATATGAGGCTATAGAGTTTCCATTTACACACATAATGTGCTTGTTTGGCAGTGCTTATAGGTTGTGTCCTATGTTATGTGAGGATAATAAGTGGGTAGTATGTTGTGGGTTCTATGAAATTGTGGTTAAAGATTATGTTTGATCAACTTAAGCTTTGCCAAGCATGCTCAATATTAACCGTGTGTGGCAATGGTACAAATAGTTTGCATATTGATTTGTGAGTTGTGATTGTATCACTAAGTCAAGCATTTTAAGTTTTCATTTGAAACCTTGTAAACTCTTAACATATTGAGAAGAAGTCTAACCAGGTTAAGTTGCTTCTGTTTTGGTAAAGAAACTCTTCTCTTCCGCATTTCCAAATTTCTCTTCTGTTATGCCCTGCCACGCCATACTCATTGGCCTTGAGTTCCATATATAGGATACAACTTGTATGTCTTCTGACTTCCATTTTTCTTTAAATTAAAATAGTACCCAAAACATCTACAAGAAATCTTAATTTTCTGTTATACAAAATATTTGGGTAATGAAAAATTGAATCAGATTCACTCTGGTGTGGCTGCACAAAATCTGGCAAGCGGATTTCACAGAGATTGGCTTCTATGCGGCCGGTGTTGGGCGATTGAAATTTCTTTACGAACATTCAAGCACGGTCCTTCTTTAGTAAAACTTACTTGCTATCCAGTATTTCACATGACATAATAGTGTGAACCCTTCCAATTCACAAAGTCATTCTAGAGAGAAGTTTATTTACTGATTCTTAATTTAAAAATAAATAAATATACAGAGGAGAAACTTCTGTAGCTACTCATCTTTTTTAAGGCATACAAATTTGAATTATTTAGTATTCAAGAGAAATTTGCTCAATAATGGTTACCAAAAAAAAAAAATAGAGAGAGAGAGAGAAGAGGAAGAAACCCCAGCCTTGGACCTTTCTTTTCTCCAACTGACATGGTAGCTATCACATGATATTATCTTGAACGAATTTTCTTCTCATTCAGCTTCAATTGCCTTGCTTGACTCAGAATTTATTGTTAATGCTCGAGTATTTGTAGATGGCATAACCATACCCTTCTTTGTACTTTATAGGTTGAAGATATGAAGCTATTGGTTGCAAATATAAGGACCCTACTAGGAATATGTTCAAGGGCACAAGATGAGTAGATGAAGATTTTCGAGATTTTTTATATATTTGTAGCTTTTCCTCAATTTCACTGTTGCTGTTTTATATCCCGGTTTTTATTTCTTTAATCATTTTTCAAGGTCAAACTTCCAGAAATAATGAATGGCTTCAGCTTCAGAAAGCATAGACGATATTTGCAAACTAAAATTTTAGCTAAGATATGATTTGCCTCTTTACTCAGCTTTACAGATTACTAAGTTGCCAATGATGTTCAGCATATAGATTGTGCACATTATTGTGTTGAATATAGTGCAATTAAAACGTAGTGCAAAGAATATTAATGCGTGTATATTTATCGACGGTTTTTTTTTTAAACATTTAATGAAATATTATATGCTTGTACATTATCCCAAGCATCTCATTCTTGTGTATTTCTTTGTGAGTTTGTATTTAAAATGGATGGTTGAGTCTCGTGGGTTTCTGGTTGCGGACATAAATGTCATACAAATAAATTAGGGATGCGTTTGCTCATAATTAATAGGTGTAAACCTTCATCTGCAATTTTTCCAAATTTTAAATTGGGCCACAAATCAAGAAAAGGGCAATTGTGTAATTGCGTACTAATTTTGAATTGGAAGTGTGG